TCTCATTACTTGTATTTAAATGTATACGACACAGTCATTAGTTAGATTCAGGAGAGGCAGTGTTAGTGCAATGGCTAGAGAAAGCTAACTTTGGCAATAGGAAGACCTGGGTTCAAATCCTTTCTCTCATACATACTAGCCTTATGACTATGGGGAAACTATTTAACCTCTTAGTGCCCCATTCAGCTCTCTAAGGCTATAAGTTACTTATCAGCACTGGCATATGGAATTTTAGACCTTTGACTAATCACTTAATAAATCCTTTTTCATTTATTCATTTCTGATCCATCAATTGACTGATTGAATACCAATGAGCCAAGTATGTCACTAGATCCCACGAGAGTATACAAAAATTGATCCTTATTTATTGTGCGCCTGGCACTGTGCTAGGTGTCATGGATACAAAGATGACAATAAAACAATATCCTTCTCTCAAGGAGCTTACATTATTTTTGGAAGAGATCACATCTATTGATATGTATCTATATCTATACATATATACAGACATATACATAGACACACAAATTTATATGTTACATATATCATATATAAACTACATATACATGTGTGGGTGACAAGTATTTGAATATATGTGCATATATTGATATATCTATGCATATATACACACATCTACACAGATACACACATATTTATGTGTGTTCCATGTACATACGCATATGGATGCAGTATATGCGTGTGTGTGTGTGTGTGTGTGTGTGTGTGTGTGTGTGTGTGTGTGTGTGTAATTTGGCTGGGGAAAGGCACTAGAACAAAAAATGCCTTATGAAGGAGATGGTGCTTGAGCTGAGCTTTGAAGGAAGCTATAGATTTTAAGGTGGAGATAAGGAGAGAGAGCATTTCAGGAAGAAGGAACAGCTTATATATACAACGATACAGAGATGGTCCTTGCAATGTTGTGCCAACACCCTATGCTGTCATCTCACTCAGTCCCTTTCCTCTGCCCTCAATCCAAGAGGTTTAGTTGTGCCTATGGCACTTCAGTTCACACCATACCCTTCTCTGTGTTCCTGAGGCACTCAGGTTACATTCTTCCCCGGCATTTCAAATGCTGTATTTCCTTTTAAAATCAGATGCAGTACACTTGACATCTGGAATTACACACAGCATCAAAATAAACACCAGCACTTTAAATAAAAGTATGATTAATTTGTCATCCAGAACACCTTAGGGTGCCATTCAAAACAAATACTAAAATAATGCAGTAGACATAGTACAATGCAAAGCATCTCTTAACAAACTGCTTTAGTGACTATAGGTATAAAGTTCAGGAAGGACAAAATACATGGACATGTCAATACATAACCATATACGCATATCCACATAGTGCAAGCATAGAACAGGAAAAGTTAAAGCAATAGTAACATCCATGTATATACAAACAACTAAAAGTAAACTATGCATAGATAACACACAAATGTAGCTATAACAGAAACAAGATTCTAGCACAGAAAAAAAAGTGTTTCATTACGTTTCCTTGTCTAAAGCGTCTGCCATATTGTCCACTTCTTACCAGACTTTCTGTGAATTTTTTCATTTTTTATTTTTTTAGTTTCCCTGGGCCATGCACAGGCAGATATCTCTAAGGTAGATGGGGTCACCTGTCTTTTAGTAGGGACCTTGTCTTGGGCTTTTTCCCATTTGCTTATTATACTTTTTTGCATCCATCCCTTTTTTTTTTTTGGAAGAAACTATTCCTCTCCATAGTAGTTTCATTTAGGTATCTGTCTAATTATGCTGGAAATTTAGATGTTAACTCCCTTTTGTGCTGAATAATACTGTAAAATTCTGAAAGTGTCATGTATGTCAATACTTCAGAGCCATTTCTTTCTGCTATTTAGAAACTTTAGAGAAAATTATTGAAATTCCAAACTTAAGATTCTCAATCAGCTCAGACACTTAGACAACTTGAAATCTTGGCTGCAGGACTATAATCCCTTTCTTCTGTGTAAATCGGCATCCTCCATTGCCCTTCTACACACAATAATATATAGACATATACAACAAAGCAGTTGTGATCAATTATAATTTGATGAAAAGGATAAGACTCATCGAAAGATACAAAGTAAACCAGGAGTTATCATTAGACTTAAAGAACAGAGAAACTTTGGAGTAAAGGTCTGTAGGGGGAAGTAGAAACAAAGGGGATGGGAAGGTGAAGCACTTTGCCAGTTTCTCCAGTCTTTAACCATCTCTCAGCCAGGAATTTGACTAGATGTTTAGTCAGTCTCAGCTGTTTAGTCAGTCACCTCAGTACTCCATTCTTAATTCACATTCAAATTGCTTGTGATCCATCCATCTAGACTTTTGCTTCCCCCCACCCCCCAGAATCCTCTTACATTTATCTCTCTCTTAACAAAAATAAAACCCCTGAAACACTTATTTCTCCTTCTTATTGTATTGGTCATCAGAAACATGACCCTCCCTTCAGATTCCCAGTGATCGTTCTTGTGTTTACAACAGGTTTTATTCTACCTGCCAAATTCCAACTCCTGTCATATGTTACTCTGGGTCTCTGATGAACTTGGGTTATGATACTAAACCTGAAAATCCTGGAGCCACATTGAGAATTCCCTAAAGCACTGAAATCACAGGCCTTGATCCTAACCATCCTTTCTCTTCCCACCCCTCACCAAAAAAGGCATATCTATAGTTACTTTTTTAGAGTGTCTGTAAGTGGGTTTATAACAGATTCTCGAACACCTGGTTTGAGATGGTGTTAGGCTCTGCCTCATTTATTTAACAGTTTTACTGTGTTTCCTTGACAACATTGTTGCTAAGTGTATCTCTAAGGACAATCTATCAAAATGAGATCCCTATTTTCTCCGATTATGTAAAAATGCATAATTTACAAGCATTACAAGTTTAATAAATAATTTATAAACCATTCACAATAATGATGTATATATAGCTCTACAAGAATTTACTTGTTGGAGAAATGTACTTTTGGAATCTGTGATTTAACTGACAAATGCTATCATTATGATTTATTAGAAGGGGCTAAAAGGTGTAGCTGAAATTTGAATGTGATTCTGGTCAAAACAATTAATATAAATAAGTTCATTAGGAATTGCATGACATAGATGAAATGGGTTTTTTGATTCAGTGCACATTTTTATTTCTTTGCCTTAATATAATATTCAGTTTATATAATGATATATAGATATATGTACATATCTATATATCTATCTCATCTCATTTAATCTTCACAGTGGTTGGTTGGTGGTTTGTTCTTTATGCTTGAAGAGGACCAAAATGACATCACTATGTTGGAGTCAAGGTGCAATGTGTCCAATTGTTGCTGATCAGACCAATATGAGCTCAGAAGGCTCTACTACAGGTTGGGCACAAATAATACACGTGAACATTTAGAGTATAGATGTCTCTAAATTTACACATTTCACATTTCTTTTGAACTACTGCAAGTCTGCTTTACTCATAGAGCACAGCACCTTCTTCGGTGTGAGCACACTATGCTGGGCAGTCTTTGTGCCAGTGTATCCCATATCACACAAGCAACCTCAATGTTCTTATGTCCATTTTAGAGATGAAGAAACTGAGGCTCAGAAAGATTAATTAACTTGCCTAGAAATACATAACTGATAGATATCCTTGGCTGGATTTGAACTTGTTTTCTTATTTTAAAGTCCAACAGTCTATACACTAGACCACAGGTTGGCAAACTATGATTCACAGGTCAAATCCAGCCCACTACTTGATTTTGTATAGCCCACTAGCTTTATTTAAAAATGTAAAAACAAAACAAAGCAAAACAGTGCTCTGAGGTTTTCCTGTGTGAACTTGTCTTTGTCCTTCCATAAGATCCCATGGATGATCTTTGCACTGCACTGGAACTCTTTCTTCAGTTTTCTGATGGTTTAGGGATAATAGTGGAGGATTTGAGATCTTGTCATTTGTATATTCCTCAAGGATGAATGGGAAGCTAACCACATCTATGAAAAGGAAACAAAAGAATTCCATCGAAGCACATTCCCACAACATGATCATGGCCCTGGGATGTAGATTTTCATAATGAATTTTGCCTGAGAGAAATGGGAACTACTTTTTCTGAAGGTGCTCCCAAGGACAGTATCCCATTTTAAGAGAGGTCCATGTGTCCCCCAGGATAGTCATTATTCAATGTGATAGGGATGAGCATAGATCTAGAAATAGTATATACTTCTCTTAGGATGAGTGACTGGTTGTGGCAAGGGCAAAGAGTATTACTAGATCTCATGTATTAGGATAAAGAGTGACTTCCATCATAGTTGCCTTTTTAAGGAATTGATATTTCAAGGAATGGGGCACAGCTCACTAAAGTCCCTGTAATACCCCCTTCCCCTCAAATAGAAGTAAATGAGAAAATGGAGTGAGATTTACGAATGCGCTAACATAGGAGTGGGATGAAGGAAAGAACTTTTGTACTCCAGAACTGTCACTTTTCATGAAGGATAGAGACAGAATAAAGAAACATTATGAAAGCCAATGAATGAAGTGATTTGCCCAACATCACGCAGACTGGTGATATGAAGGTAGGAGTGATATTATCTCAACTCCATTAAATTAAGAAGAATGAAATAATAATAATTGTTGTTTTTATTATCTATTTTCTAAGGAGACACATTCCTTTACAAGCTTTTCATTGAGGTGTGTACCCTCCTAACCCATAGCACAATTTGCTTTAGAGATACTGTAAAAAGGAAAATACTAAATTTAAAAAAGAATGGCAGACTACCTCCAAAAATATAGTTTTGTCCTCTGTCCTTTGTATTTGAGCTGCATCTTTTATTAAATTTTAAAATAGTTTTCTTAAATTTATTTATTTTTAAATGTTACATAAGGAAGGTGTTAAAACTGGTGCAATAGCTACATAGAATAAGTATTCCAGATTTTGGGAGGGATGAAGAGAGATATTCAGAACTCTTCAACAGAACCCCCTCACTTGTTCATATCTGATTAAGTGATGTGCTTTGTAGATGGGGTTAATCAATGACAACAGCTTGACAGATTTTTCTTTCTGCACCAAATCCCATTGAATTATCTGGTCCCCTTGGCTGACAGAGAACCACTAGGTGAGGAGCATTGGCCTCATTTAGTAGATCTAGAGTGATGCTCTTCAAGTGAATGGCCAGTCTTTCAGGATGTGGAAAGACGAAAGCTTTGGGGCCTTCACAGACATGCCAGATGTTGCAGGCAGTGCATTTGCCAGCATGCTGATTGAGAATTACTGAGAATTCTACCTCATCTCTAGCCTGTAGCTCAATGCCATCCTGAACTTCCTTCATATGAAAAAAGAGTTTCTTGCTGTCTTCCACTTCATAGGTAATGAAGCCAAACTGATTCTTCACACATTCCATTTTGAAAGAAAAGGAGGGGTTCTATGAGGTGGAGGTGAGGAGGAATTATATTCTGGGCATGGGGCATAGCTAGTACAAAGACATGGAGTTGGGAGATAGAGAATCACATGTGTGTAATAAAGAGAAGCCTAGCTTCACTGGATTGAAGAATATGGGAAAAGGGGATAATAAGGCCCCTAGTCAGATCTGCACTTAAGGAAAATTACTTTGATAGCAGAGTGGAAGATTGTCTGAAATGAGAAGAGGCTTGAGACCAAGAGACCAATTAAGAGACCACTGCAGGGGCAGCACTGGCCCTGAAGTCAGGAGGACCTGAATTCAAATCTGGCCTCAGACCAAACACTTGACACTTACTAGCTGTGTGACCCTGGGCAAGTCACTTAACCCCAATTGCCTAAAAAATTTTTTTTAAAGAGACCACTGCAATAATACAAGGCGTATGATATGGTTAATGAGCCAGCAAAGGAGGCTGAGAAGTCAGAAAAAAGGAGAGATCAAGGGCAAGAAAACCCAGAGGAGAGAGTGGTTAATTGTGTCAATGCAGCAGATATATCAAGAAGGAATTGAACTGAGAAAAGATCATCAGACTTGGCAGTTGTGGGATCTTAATTAAGAAGGTTCTGAGAAATTTCTGAAGGCCCAGGACATCTATATTAAGCAGACTTGGGGATAAAACAGGGCCAGGAGCTAACAAACTCTTCTTAGGATGAAAGCTCAACACTGACATTTCTCACTTGATACAATCAGTCTTTCATGATTGTGGACTTTGAATAAACTCAAAATAGCTGTCTCCTCCTCCAGTCATTACAATTATTCAATTTTATGTAGATTTTCAAAGTTTGCAAAGCACTTTCCTTACAATAGCTTTATGGAATAACACAAATATTATTATCCTAACTTTACTGATAAAGAAATGGAGGCACAGAGAAGATACATGATTAGCCTCATATAGGAAATGGCAAAGTCACCTGTAGAATCCAGTTTTCTGACTCTGAGACAAAATGATTCCATCTTCTTTTGTTACCATTCTTTACAAAAGCATAAATGAATGCAAAAACATGTTGACATTAGAAAAAAATCATGGAAATAATATTACACATGAAAATCTTGTGCTAGAAAGTTCTGTGGGAAGAAATATTCAGTATTGGTTTTAATATAGGTTATTATTTCCTTCAAATCTAACTAATGTGAGTACATTGTACAACTATGCTGTAATAAAGGAACAAATTGAATGATTAAAATAAGAAAACAACAATAATTTGAATAAAATGTATTTAATCACTTGAAAGATGTGCCTAAACCAACATTTTCATGTTTAATATAGCTTTATGATAATTTTATAGCATTATTTTTCTTGTACACATGGATTCATATTTACAGAATCGCAATTTGTGACAGGTAGGGTGGTATGGACCAAGTGCTGAACTTGGAGCTAACTCATCTGGGTTCAGATACTGTCTCTGTCTCTTACTAGCTGTATCATCTACATAATGATAATGTGAGGATCAAATAAGGTAACATATGTAAAGCTCTTTTTTCCCCTTCTTTAAGAAAAGTGCTATAGAAATACTATTATTGTCATTACTATCCTTAAACTTGGACAACTTACTGGGCTTCAGTTTCCTCATAGGGAAAATAGGGATCGCAATACTTGTATTACATGTGTGATAGGGTTAATTACGAGAAGATTATTTTGTAGACCTTAAAATGCTATATGAATATGAACTATTCTTCTTTTCAAAGACAACTTATCATATGAGGTAGCCTATTTTGGAGAAGGAGCACATATTTGGAACAATATGGCAACTCATTTTCCCTACTTTTGGAAAGGCCAAACTTCAGATGTTGGATGTATCAGAATATTTTATAATTTTTCTAAGACCAAAGGAAGAGAGATTGGCATCTTCCTTTTCTAAAAACAAAATCAAAACCTTTTCATTACTTCACAGATTGTTAGGAAATTGTTCTGTTTATCTCACCTGTGAAATGTTGCTTCCTTTTGAAAACTGCAAATAAGTAAAGGTCAGGGTTTTTAAATCCCTTTCCAAAGCTTAGGCTTTTTCCCTCAGCTGAGGGATGCATTGACATCATTAGTAGCTATGTCTTTTTCAGTTGTGAAAGGGTTGTGAGCTGGAAGTGAAGTCATGTGAGATCTACTTTTACTGGTTGCCTTATGTTAGCTTTTCCTTATATAATTGTGTACATCTATATTTTGCATTCTGCAGGGAAAGAAGAAAATGATCCATGCTAGAGGAAACCCATTCCAAATCCCAACTGAGAAAATCAACTCTATTACTGCAGAGTCAGACTCTCCCAAGGGAGTAGTTGCTTAATACAAAGTCAGAGGCTCCAGTTATTTTTTTTCCTCTCAAACTGATTCACATCTGAGATTCTTCAATTGTGAGATTACTATTGTCACCTTTTGTTTAGGTTGCCAGTTTAGTAATCAAGGCTATAATTTCTTCGAAAATAATATTGCTTATGTACTTTCATAAGCTCATGCTCTGAAACTTGCCAGCAATACACATTCACTTAGAACAGACTATAACATATGGAGACGGAAGTCAGCACCCATTGGTATTTATTCCTTGCATGGTGGATTATTAGTTCAGCTGCTTAAACACTCTTGCCTAGATTCAAACAGATCAAATGAAAATTAAAATCCTAAGAGATTCTATCTTACACAGCAGGTCCTACTTCTTACAACTTACAGAAGGGTAAAGTTGTTTTTCAGCAAGTTCACAGTTACAGCAGAATGCGCAGCAGTTACAGAAGGCAGTCATCTTTTAGACCCATTGAATTTATGCAAGATGTTTTCTAAAAACTTCCTGCTTGTTTCCTCTCTAGTTTAAAACATTATGATGCTAACATCAATTATGTAAATTAATAATCATGAAAAGAAAAAAAGCCATATTCTTGGATTTGACATGGAAAATATATATATGATAGTTTACTCAATCTAGAAAGACTTTTTTTTTTAATGTTAGTTGGCTTAAGGTGAGTGACTCTTATAAAAAGTCTCTGTGGTCACAGGAACTGCATCTCAATTTCCAAACTGGACAAAGCCTTTTAATATGTGATTGGTGGATCCAGAGTTCAAAGTTCTGATGTTTAGCAGCAGTGCTGGTGGTCCTGAATCCACATTCAAACAAACAAACAAACAAACAAACAAACAAACAAACAAACAAACAAACACAGGGTTCCTGTATCCATATTAAAATCATTCTTCATTCAATTTGAGTTATAAATTTAGCCTCTTTTTAGTTTCCAATGCCACATATTTCAGCCTCATGACTTCATGGGTAGCTAGGCCCTAATTCTTTATCACAGAATCTACTTGGGTTTAGTAGGGGAAATCAAACTTATTTCACTGTTGTGATTTAAAAAAACCTGCCCACAGTTTTTGTGCCACTAGGTTTTATGGATCAGAGTTCAGCTGCCCCAGAAGGTAGATGTTGAGTCCTTGTTTTCTTCCTCTCCTTGCTTGAAGCAGAGAACCATTTTCATCATCCTTCCACCTATAGCAATTGTTTTAGGAAGTTAGGAACATTGTCCTACATCTGGGTAGATGAGTGGTGAGAATGACTGACCAAACATAAGTAAGGGGAAAAAAGAATATTTTCTTAGCTTGTCAGGCTACAGCAGTCAAATACATAGCAAGGTTTTGGTGATTGCAGACATCTCCTTTGATGAGTGTGAGACAGAGCCTTGGCGTACACTCAGTTAGTGGACATGTGAGATGGTGGCTGTGCTGGCTAGGTGGTAGTTATGGGTCTGACTCACATAAGAAACAAAATATCACTAAGGCTATCATGTCGACTTACAAAATGGAGGTGGCATAACATCTGCAATTCCATGGAAAAGCAGCATACGGTAGTAGTAGTTCACCAGGGAACTAGCAGATGGCATTTGGATCTTGGCAGAAGACTAGCAGATGGAAATCATAGCCAATAAAACAGCTCAACAGCAACATTGACAGACTAGCAGATAATAAAATATTCAGGAAAGGAGTAAGAAGCAGTTTTATGGCCTGAGATGTTCCGGTTGGAACATCTGTCTAGGCAGATGTTAAAGCATGCAGCCTTAAAGCATGAGTCCTCTGGGAAGTATCAGTTCCTTTTCCCACATGTGTTCTGCTTCCACTGGTGGCATGGGGATCTGTGGGAGAGTGTGCCTCTGTGGATATGGGACTGGGCAAGAGGTTTGGAAATTAAAAAAAGAAAAGGATTACTAAATGAAACCCCATGAGTTGTGGGTTTAAACAGAAAGACCCAAAACATATCTTGAACCTGGGCATAGTTTTCCAGGGTCTATGTTGTGTGGAATTGGTCTTCAACCATATTGTGCCAAATTTTATGTCTTTGCATCATAGAGGTATTGTGAAAAATAAAGAAAAAATGTTTATAGCATTTGTTGGGCTTCTGGAATCAAAGTACTTTAGAAAGAAGTACATAAAATGTATTTGATGCATTATATTAAAGATGCCTTCCTTCTCCATCCCAATAAAATTTTTCTTTCTTGATTCTTCTCCACTCCCAGAGTTTCATGATTCATTTTTAAGCACAGGTGGTTTTTTAAAAATTAGCTCTTTCATATGAATGTATAAAGGAGTTAAATCTAGAAAGTCTAGGAATTCATGGGTTTGGAGCTACTGAGAGAGAGCAAGCAGTCAAGAAAAAATCCAGATTTTAACTTCGCGGAGGGAATAATGGAGAGGAGGTTCTCCCCTTCCCCGAGATTGACTGTGATAGCTAGCACTGTAGCTACTTGGCTAGAAGAGTGTAAGGCATACTATAAGGAGCACAGACACACTCTTAAAAGAGATATGGATACAGAAAGAGAGAGAGTCTAAGCAGCTTTAAGGATCATGGCCTCTGGCAGAAAAGAAGGGACCTGGTGATGGGCTTGGAAATCAAGATGTAAGCATCATAGTGAGGACTACACAGGAGAGGAAGTACTTTGGATTTTGGTAATACTAAAGCATTGAGAAGCCTCACTAT